AGTATTAAATATTTGGGCATAAAGATCACTTCTGATTACAATGATATGGTTCAAATGCATTCCAGTCCCTTGATTGAAAAAACTACTGACTTTGGTAGATGGTCGAAAATTCACTTGTCCCTAGGGATGGGAATCGAAAACCGGTTCCTGTTCAGAACCGGTTCCGTATTTTCCGATTCCATGGCATCGTTTGGCAGCTCGCTGAACGATTCTTTTTCCGATTCCCGCAGCACCAGAGCCTAGAGCGTCGGCTCTGGGGAGCACGACTTACGTCACGTTTTTTACGTAAGTTACGCAAGTTGGAAGAACTATTCGAGGAGGAAGACACTTTTTGAATCAAAGCCCCGTCTTTCCTTAGCCCAGAGGGTAGATCAGGAAATCCAGCTCTGTAAAAGCTTGCCCTCCATCCCCTGCAGGGATAGCGCCACACTGTGGTGGTGGAACAAGCAAGATACGCTGCCCTTGCTATCTGGACTGGCTGAAAACTACCTCTGTGTGCAGGCTTCCTCCACCCCATCTGAGAGGGTGTTCTCCACGGCTGGAAACACCTTAAGCGCTGAAAGATCCTGTATCCTTCCAGAAAAAGCAGATATGCTCATCTTTCTGCAAAATAACTGTTAATTTTCCCTACTACTGTTTTATAATTAGTATTTTTTGTTATTTAAAATAGGTTATTATCCCATCATTTGTTATTAGACATGGTTGGTTATTAAGTTTGTTCTTGTATTCATTTTTCATTTAAACACAGATGTTACTCCAGTTTCACATTTCCTGTGGACATCTTGATCTTGTTGAGTTTGTAAGATTGTGCAATAGTTAAGTAAACAAAGTTGATGCTGATAATCAAACTGTTTGTTCTCCTTTTTCCCCCAAATTGGAATCGAAAAAAGAATCGATAAAGAATCGAATCGTTTCATAGAATCGAAAAGGGAATCGGAATCGTGAAAATCTTTTCAATTCCCAACCCTACTTGTCCCCTGTGGGGAAAAATTAACTCTATAAAGATGATGAAAGCACCAGTTGTTTTACATCTCCTCTGTAATATTCCTTTGCACATTCAAGACTATTGATGTTTTCAAAGAGCTAAATGCCTTAATATTGGATTTTCTATGGGGTGAATCCCATCACCGTCTGAGTCTTAAAAAGTTACAAACGAGTGTTGACAGGGGTAGTTTTTCCTTACGTAATTTTAAATGGTATTATTGGGTTTTACATTCAAAACAACTTGGAGCCATTTTCAATCCCTCTGATAAACCTTCCTGGTCCTAGCTGGAATCTGATGCGAATGGAGTTGAATCTCCATGGGTTACTTTATTAGGTATCAAAACAAGAATATATAGCGATCACCCTCTTATTACAGCAGCCAAATTAATTTGGAACATATTACACAGAGGAGGTCTCTGCGATTTCAATAAGGCATCAGTAGCTCCTTTATGGAATGATAACAAAATTCTTATTGATGGAAAATCAGTTAACTGGCCACAGTGTTTTAAGGTGGGAATCTCCTGTGTATTCCATTTGTTTGATGCCTAAACCAAAAATTATCTGAGCTTCACAGAAGTTGTTGATAGATATAATTTGCCTCGGAATCAATTTTGGAGATATGTCCCACTATGTAGTTCACTGTCTAAATCACTGCATGAGAAGTGAGATTTTCGTCCCCGTAAACTACCACAGATCTCCCTCATTTTCGGCAGTTAACGACAATTTGCAACCCGCGCTTGTCGCCGTTTGTCAGTGCCACAAATTGTCGGAAACTGACTCTGACGTATGTGGAAAGCAATCAGCTGTACTAATGGCCCTAATTAGAATATTCAATTCAATTCAGTTTATTTATATAGCGCCAAATTCACAACACATGTCATCTCAAGGCACTTTACAGTTCAACTATGAATACATATGAATGCAGCAAACCCGCGCGGCTGGCCAGGTCTGGCTTGAATAACCTTCTCAGTATTGGCTGAAACCACTATTTTCAAACAAGTGAAATCGCTCGTGATTGGCAGCAAAACCACACGTGGCCACGCCAGGCTTTAATTTTCTTACTGAGTATTGGACGGAACCACTTCTTTTTAAACAAGTAAAGTCGCTCGTGATTGGTTGGCATATATATATATATATATATATTTATATATATATATATATATATATATATATATATATATATATATATATATATATATATATATATATATATATATATATATATATATATATATATATATATATATATATATATATATAAATATATATATATATATCTATATAAATATATATATATATATATATATATATATATAAATATATATATATATATATCTATATATATATATATATATATATATAAATATATACATATATATATCTATATAAATATATATATATATATATTTATATATATATATATATATATATATATATATATATATATATATATATATATATATATATATATATGTATATATATATATATATATATATATATATATATATATATTTATATATATATATATATATGCCAACCAATCACGAGCGACTTTACTTGTTTAAAAAGAAGTGGTTCTGTCCAAAACAATTGATACAAAGTTTTCTATCTAAGGAAAACCAGTTGATTGCATTGACTCATGACTTTTTTTTTTTTTTACTTAAAGGGAAAGATACAAAATGATAAGGCTCCGGGTCCTTGCACACATTTCCCAGTTTGCTCTCCAACTTCTGACCCACACCTTACAGTTTCCCACTTTTCCCACTTTGATTTTTTTTTTCAAACAATCCATTCTGCATATGTTCATGTTATTGTGAGATGTTTTTAAGTGATTTTAGAGATGAATCTAGTAGAAAATATTTTCAGAAAACTTTTCACAATTTTCTCTGTTTGGTTTAAATGTGACCTCCATTTGTGTCATTGGTAATTTCCCCTCTTCACAACTTGTTACTTTTGCAGTTTTACTCATGTTGCACTTGTTGTAATGTAACAAATGAATTATACAGACAATTATACAAATTACTGCATATTGTTATTTTTATAGTCATTGTGGCCAAATGGGGATCGAGGCCCGAATACTTTAATGTAGGAAGTGATGGATATTATACCATAGAACATTTCATAACAATCCACTTTTTAATTACCATTTTTCTTAATCATTAATGAAAAAATTTAATTACAACACTCGAACATAGTCACAGTAAAAAAAAGATGAGCCCTTGGCTATGACTGGAAGAGAACAGCATAAAACACTTAAGTGATGTTTTGTTGCAGCCACTAGAAATTAGGGCTGAAACAATGAATCAAATTAATGGTGATTAATCAATTATTGAAATGATCGTCAATTATTTTAATCGGTTAAACATTAACTGGAGTACAGAGACTGTAAACCATGCCTCTATCTGACAGATAAACCCAGTTAGAGCAGTAATTATACCAAGATTGTAAATAAATATAAACACTTTGCATTTAATCTATAAAAAAAGAAAAAAAAAACATTCTGTCAATAGGCTCTATCCAGAACTCCTCACGTGGAAAGATTTGAGTTTCACGTGGTTTAATTTTGTCAAAAGTCTTCTGGAGGAATATTTTGACAAAATTCTGATTATTAACCAATAATGGAGAAAAAAAACAATTGATGGATTAATCGATTAGCAAAATAAAATCTAAACAATGCATTATAATAAGCTATAATAATCTCTGCAGACCCCTCATTCTGATTCTAATGTTGTTTGCATGGAATGCACATTTTCCCTTGCTGATTCTGATTCACATTTTACCAACTGATTCTGATTAAAACTAATTTTTGAAATAAATTATTTTGTGGATTTTTTTACATAACATTTGCCATTGCTAATGGCATACACAGTAATCTAGCATACTGTAATTAAATAAATCAATTCAAGCTAAAATGTAAGAGTCTAAAATTAGCCTGCGGCCGGTCTGAAAAGATTCTGCCTCATCCCCAGCCCAGCGGCTGACCTCCAGAGACTCCTCCTCGCTTCTGGCCCAACGATCGGCCTCCTGAACGTGTGGAGCTGGAGCTGATTGCACCACCTGCTCGTTTGCTCATCAGGAGACCAGTATATAAGGAGGCAGAGGACATCACCCTGGCGCCAGAGTGTTTGCCAGTTATAGTTAGCAAGCCTGAGCCAACCTGCCTGTCTGAATCTCTGACTCCCAGAAAACCTGAACCTAATCTGTTTTGTCCTCTCTGCTTCCCAGGTTGAACCTGCCTGAAACCTGGAAGAGTTTCTCTGTTGGAAACCTGTCAGTCTGATCTCTGAAGAACCCTGGAGAATCAAACCTGTCAAAGACCTGCCTGCCCGCTCTCTGAAGAATCAGAAAGGGAAATTCAAACCTGTTGTCTGCAAACTCTTAAACTAAGCTCTGCCTCCGCCAAGCCCTCAGCCTGCCGACAGCCTCTGGACCCTCCTGGTTCCCCCTCTCTGCCGCTCTGCTCAAACTCCAGAACAGGTACAGACCTGTACCTTCACATCCTGCAAATTACCTGGACATTTGCTAACTCCTCTGTCCCCCTCTGGTGGGTCTGGGTCTGGTGGACCCAGTGACCAGTCCTGGATCTGATAACCCCCTGACCTGTTTATTGTGCAAATTCTTTGATAAACCTTTGAACTTTTTCCCAGTCTCTTGAGTGTTCTGCATGTGGGTTAGGAACCTGAAACCAAACATGAAACTTCCAACATTTATTTCATCAAAAGGACTTCAGTAGTAAAATCTTTCGTTTTCTCTTATTTGAAAAAAAGTATTGAAATATATGCTTCTACCGCTACCATACCAAAATGTTGGTATCCTAACAACTCTAATTTGATTTCTCTCGGTTTTTCCTGTATGTGACCTGTTTATTAAGTTTTGCAAAAAGATATGTGACACAATTCATTCTGTATATGAATCAGTGCTATATAAATAACATGAACTCAATAAAATAATATCAAGTTAAACACACAGTATGCAGCTCTGAAGAAAATAACCTGTGTATATAATGAACATACAATACAAAATAAGAAATCTTTATTTATTGGTCTTTTAGTACACAAAAAGCAGCTGTCTTTAAAAAATACAGTTTTTCCATTTCCTCAAAGCAAAAGCAAAGAACATGCAGAGGGCCTTAGCAGGGAAATATCTGATTCAGAAATACTCAGAGGTGTTTCGATTCAGTGCTGCAAGACAGAGAAGAAAATAAGTCAAAAGATTTCTCTGATAAGACTCCTCTCGGACCACAAATTAATAACAATGATTGTTATTAGTGGCATCCTTAATAAGAATAATATCAATAGCAACAAAAAGTACAAAAAAACCTATAAAAAACAGTAAGAAAAAAAATATTCACTTTTGTTATAACTTTGTGAATAATTGTTCTACAAATACTAATAATGTTCGTCTTCTCCAGTTTAATGTCAGTGTTGTTATTTTATGTTATAATAAATAATTAATTGGTGCAAGTTTACCCAAACAAAACTAAATTTGTAGACAGTGTTGAACATGTTTACCTTAAAATCCCAGATGACCATAGCTCCATCCAGACCTACGCTGCTGTACTTTTCCACCTTGGCTTTTTCTCCTGAAACTACACACAGCTGCCTGCAGGATAAAGCATATTAGGCTTCAAAAATGTTATTCAATTCAAGTATAAAGGCAGTTTTACTTTTCAAACAATGAGAGCATGTTGAGTTGGAAATTAGGAAAAAGATGCTGAGAAACTAGTCCATGCATTTGTTACTTCAAGGCTGGACTATTGTACCGTATTTTCACGACCATAAGGCGTACCGTACTAAAAGGCGCACTCTCAGTTATGTGTCCCATTTCTGTATTTAACACACACATAAGGCGCACCGGACTATAGGGCGCGTTTTTTATATACAGGTACATGTCCTCTACTACCTTTAAATAGCTCTACTGCATATTTAAAAATACAGCGGGAGCAAAACTGAGTATGACTGTGCTTTATTCATGTATTTATTACAAAGTATTAATCAAACCTGGCAGCTGGCTGTGAAACAGACACATCGCAGATGACAGAGCGCTGTGGTCACTCCTAAATTAACTTAAAATCCTGAAACCTGCCGACGGAATATGTTCGCTTTTATTACCGGTATCCTGGTGCCTGCAGTTTAAATTATTTAGATGAAAAACACCTGCCAGCCGCCGCGTGAACCCGGAGGCTGCCCAGCCTAGAGGCTGCTGATGAAGGGATTTCTGCTGTCGGTGCACCGCTGGTATGTGGGGGTCTGAGCGCCTCCGACAGAAATAGATAATCTGGATGAACTGACTGCAATTAAGTTTTCAGGTGGCCTTTCTCACTTAAAAACATATTAAAACTACTTTATTCCCACTGATCACAGCAAATATAGCTGCAAGATTTAGATTATTTAGATGAAAAAACACCTGCCAGCCGCCGCGGTGAAGAGGAGGAGACCCGCCCAGAGGCTGCTGTTGAATTAAGTTTTCAGGTAGAAAAATAGAGCGGGAGCAAAACTGAGTATGATTGTGCTTTATTCATGTATTTATTACAAAGTATTAATCAAACCCATCAAAGTCATCATCCTCTGTTTCTGAATAAAACAGCTGCGCTAAATCAGACATGCCAGTTTCCCTTTCTTCGCTGTCAGAGTCACTTTCCGTGCAGCGCAGCTCCTCAGAAATAATGCTGGCTTTTGCAAAAGCTTGAACAACAGAGCCAGCAGACACATTAGTCCAAGCATCAACAATCCATCCGCAAACGGTGGCGTAACTTGCCCGGCGCTGCCTTCCACTTATCGTGAAACTGTGGTCTCTGTCTGCCATCCATCGCTCCCACGCCGCTCGCAGCCTTACTTTGAACGGCCGCTTCACACCGATGTCGAGCGGTTGAAGTTCCTTTGTCAGACCCCCGGGATAACGGCGAGCACAGCATCCATTTGATTCACCTTTTTTTTCACATCGGCTGTGAGATGGGCACGCAGCGATGGTGATGCGTGGAAAAAAGCACCTGGTCTCCTCACATACACCTGCCTCAGCTACGCTTTCATCATCTCCTCATCCATCCAGCCCGTTTCATTTGCGTTAATATCATATGTCATCAGAGCGCTGTGTCTGTCTCCCTGTCAGCTCCCAGATCAGCTTCTCTGATTGGTTGATGCGGCGCGTCCAGCAGCAAAACTTCAATTTTTCCATCTCGAGCAGCAGCAGCGCGTTGGCGGTGCGTCAGATGCTTAAACGCTCCTGCTGCTCAAAACGCCCTGCAGGACCTTTTGCTGCACCTATAGGCGCGTCAACCATTGACTTTGCACGTAAACTCGCTGCTTCTGCTGCACCTGCTGCGTCCCGTTCACACCGATGTCGAGCGGTTGAACAGCGAGCACAGCGTTAATTTGTTTCCCCATGTTTTTCACATCAGCTGTGAGATGGGCACGCATGGAGTCACAGATTAACAGCGATGCTGAGGGGTGGAAAAAAAACACCTGGTCTCCTTACATTCAGCCACTCTTTCATCATCTCCTCAATGAGGTGGTCTCAAAAGTCGCAGTTACAACACACATAAGGCGCACCGCACCATAGGGCGCACCGCACATTTTGAGGGAAAAAAAAGACGTTTAAGTGCGCCTTAAAGTCGTGAAAATACGGTAATTCTTTACTATCAGGAAGTCCACAAACTGTAGTTAAAAGCCTTCAGCTGATCCAAAATGCTGCAGCCAGAGTTCTGATGAAAATGAAAAAGAGAGATCATATCTCTCCTATCCTGGCTTCTCTTCATTGGCTTCCTGTTAAATCCAGAATAGAATTTAAAATCCTCCTTCTCACATATAAAGCCTTAAATGGCCAAGCTCCACACTGCAAAAACAATCCAGAAATAAGTAAAAAATTGCTTAAATTAAGGATATTTAGCCTTAATTTGAGCAGGTAAATAAGATGATTTGCCAATGGAATGAGTATTTTCACTCTTAAAATAAGATAGTTAGATAATATGCACTTGAAATAAGAAGAAAAAATTGTTTTTTCTTATTTTAAAAGGAAATTGTCTTGTTCCATTGGCAAAGTGTCTTACTTACCTTCTCAAATCAAGGAAAAACGCACTTATTTTAAGAAAAAATAACTTATTGAGATTTCTATTTTTTGCAGTGCATCTGATATCAGAGATCTGATTGTTCCTTATGTTCCTAACAGAGCACTTCGCTCTCAATCTGCAGGTTTACTAGTGGTTCCTAGAATTTCTAAAAGTAGAATGGGAGGCAGATCTTTTAGTTCTCAGGCTCCTCTCCTGTGGAACCAACTACCAGTTTTAGTCCGTGAGGCAGACACCCTGTCTACTTTTAAGGCTAGGCTTAAAACTTTCCTTTTTGATAAAGCTTCTATTTAGAGTGGCTCAGGTTATCCTGAGCTATCTCTATAGTTCTGCTGCTATAGGCTTAGACTGCTGGAGGACATAGGGACCCCTTTTTCATCATTCTGCATCATTCTATCTCTATTCACCCACTCTGCAGAATCTGTTAGTTCAATCTCTAACGTTCTGCTCTCTCTGCTTTTTCTCATAGTAGCTTCATCTGGTCTGTTCCTGTTTGGCTGTGAATCCATCCTGGAGAGAAATATCAGCTGTGCTGCTGCCATCAACACCTTTGTTTCTAGATGTTGGAGCTTGGCCTGTTTTCCAGTGTAGTCCTGTTTCTCTGACTGTGACTAACTGGATGTGCTCTCTTCATCCTCTGACATGGGAGCTGGCTCGGAGCTCGTCTGCCTGGCTGTGTGTTTCCTGGACGGGGCCGCCTGTGGAGCTGGTTGACAGTTGCCTTTTGTATCTATGCTTCTTTTTCTATGTCTGCTTCAGTCTCCTTGAACCCCAGTGGGCCTCAGCAGATGGCCGCTCACTCTGAGCCTGGTTCTGCTGGAGGTTTCTTCCTGTTCAAAGGGAGTTTTTCCTCTCCACTGTCGCTACAAGCATGCTTAGTGTGAGGGATTGCTGAAGAGTCAATGAGTCGATGCAATCAACTGGATTTCCTTAAGCCGGGCATACACTGCAATTTTTTTCAATCATGACGCTCTGATGCGATCTACCTGCTCACACTGTACGTCTAAAACCAGGTGGGACTCAGCTCTGCAGTGAGATGGCGCTACTCTGACTCGTCTATCCGGAACCCAAACGAGTAGAAGAGGAATATGAAGCTCACTAGAGTGAAACCTGCTGCCTTTGCAATTTTGGCAATTTTGTGCTGAAAGCCCTAAAATTAAAAAGGCGTATTTGGACAAAGACATGGCTGAGCAAGTCTGTCAATTTTACAGAAAGAAGTCAATTTCACTCCTTGCACCGCGGCATGCTTCTGTGTTTACATTTGAGAGGGAGAAGTAGAAGAAGAATCATTGTTTGTGCACTGAGCGATTTGCCCACGATGGTCGGGAGAAAATCAAACATGTTTAACCTCGACCTCACGATTTGTGATCGGGAAGGTGGTCGTCAGAGGCTGATCCCCTCCTCATTACCCCCTGAAAGTCGGCCTGATTGGAAAATTCTCGCACAAATGGAAAGTCGCCCTGAAAAGGGCAAGAATCACATAGTGTAAGCCCGGCTTTAGATAACAAACTAATGTACAGTGCTTGCTTGTTTATTCTTAATGCACCTTTTCCTCCTTGTTTGCACCTTCTTTAATTACTTTGCCAATATGTGACCAGTGAATTTCTCTGCTGTGAGATCAATAAAGCTCATCTAATCTAAAAACAATCTAATGAAACTTGTTCATATATCTGGGTTATAAACAAAATCCTATAATGATAATAAAACAGAGAGAATGTTTCCTACATGATGCTGTTCTGGTGAAGAGTTTGTAACTCATTGTCGTCCTCTTCAGTAGCTTTCTTGTCCAGGTTGCGAAAGTGTTGCATGGCTGACAGACTTCCTTTTGACGTCTGCTTTGGGATATCCAGCTTCTTCACAAACTCCAGGGTGTTAGGAGCTTTATAGGAGAACTGGTAAGGACAACAGTTGTGGCCCTGACAACAGAGGAGATTAGACAGGATCAAAGCAAAGTAACAACTCAAACAATATTGGTATGAATAACTAAGTTAGAGTGTCCTATAGATAGATAGATAGATAGATAGATAGATAGATAGATAGATAGATAGATAGATAGATAGATAGATAGATAGATAGATAGATAGATAGATAGATAGATAGATAGATAGATAGATAGATAGATAGATAGATGATATAGTGACTTAGACAACTTTTATTGTCATTTTCTATATGCAGAGTGTATAAGCTGAACTGAAGTCCAGGAACAGCATCCATCGTGGGTGTTCTTCTCCTCCAGGTGTGCCAGGCAGAGATGGCGTCCTCAGTGGAGCGGTTCCGTCGGTAGGCGAACTGGAACGGGTGGAATGTTGGCGGCAGACTGGAGACGATGTGTTCTTTAACCAGCCTTTGGAAGCACTTCATCATGATGGGAGTCAGAGCGACAGGCCGCTAATCATTGAGGGAGGCGACCTGAGGCTTCTTTGGGACTGGAATAATGGAGGCAGACTGGAAGCATGCTGGCACTATGGGTTGGTCCAGCCAGGTGTTAAAGATGTCTGTGAGGACACCAGCCAGCTGATCTGCACACTCCTTATACACCTGCCCAGGTGTGTTATCAGTTATCACTCTCCTCAGAGTTTTCCTCCCTTCAGCTACGTCCAGGTTTAGTGCCTCCTCCCCCTGGTGTGGAACAGCTTTCACTGCTGGAGGCTGTTTAGTGCCTCAAACCTTCCAAAGAAGGTCCACATCCTCCTGGTGTTGCTGTCATTGTGGGAAAGATCCTGGATCTTCTGGCTGTGGTTCTGCTTCACTGATCTGATGGAACGGTTTAGGTTTCCACGCGCTGTTCTCAGAGCCTCTTTATCACCAGACCTGAAAGCTGAGTTCGGTGCTTTTAGTGATTTCTGAACCTCTCCATGTTGGCCCGGGTGGTGATGTTCTTTTTGATGCTGATGTCTTCAATACATTTGTTGATGTAGGCTGACACAGTCATGGCATACTCATCTATGTTTATTTGTTGTCATATGTTGCTGCAGCCTTGAAGATGTTCCAGTCAGAGCATTCAAAACAGTCCTGGAGTTTCTCCATAAACAGCAGTGATGCTAACCACACTGAGCTCTCTGGGTAGATAGAACGGCCTGCAGCTAACAGTCAGAAACTCCATGTCTGAAGAGCAGAAGCTGGAGACTGATGTAGCATTTTTACACCAGCTGCTGTTTACATGCACAAACAGCCCCCTTCCTTTAGTCTCACCACTGAGTTCTCTGTTTCGATCAGTGCGGTGTAGGGTGAGCCTCCCCAGGTTAATAGCATTGTCTGGAATCAATGAATTACGCCATCACCCAGTCAGGATGATGGCCACTCCTTTTTTGAGTTTGAGTCGTAGGTTATCCATTTTGTTATCCATTAAGCGGACGTTGGAGAGCAGGATTGATGGTAATGGTGTCCTAAGGGGATTTCTGCTAGCTTCAGTGTTAGCCCGCCTCTGCAGCCTTTCTCTCGCACAGTGCGGCATGCTCATTTTGTTGTTTAAATTTAATGCAAAGCACTCTGCAGCTTTTTAAGACTTGCTGTATTTAAGAGACCAGAAAATGTCATTTTTTTTGACCGAAGCTCCAGCTCTCCTGCTTTTGGCACCAGAGGCTGTGTTTTATTCCTTTTCCTCTCATCTGCTTTGCTTCACCCTGTGCTCATTATTTCTTATTAGTTCCACCTGTTCCCACTGCTATTTATTCAAATCAATGCCATAGTCCTATGTCGGACTTTGATTCAGACAACCCACCTCCATCCCCTTCTCCACCATTGTAGTAAGCTCATCCGACTCCTCCTCAATGCTCCTTCAACCTCACCTCCAGTGTGTACTCCCTCCAGACTTTCATGGAGTTCCCTGTCACTTTAAACGGTCCGGCAGAAGACCGCCACGTTGAGCCTGGTTCTGCCAGAGATTTCTTCCCAAAGGGGAGTTTTTTCTCTCCACAGTTGCTTCATGCTTGCTCTTCATGGCCAGTTTATGCAAACTTTGTTCATTCAGTGACATCTAACTCAAGCATCACCCTGTATACCAGCCTCTATGGATTAACCAAACTTCACCTGTCTAAACTCCACCACCAGTTTCAGGCCCGGGGGGAATATCCTTATTCTCATACATCAGTTTATCTGCATTAAAGTATAAATCAGCGTTTATGTTTCCTGCCGAGGCCTGAGCGCCAAAGTTCAAACTATCGTATCAATAAACTCTTCTAATTGCATCTTTCTCTCTCTGTGAGTTTTTCAGATTGAACTGTCTATATTAAAGATTAGTAGCTTCGGTGCATGAATTTAATCTCAGAGATTCTAAGCTGACTCATACGTTAGCATCCCATATTATTAGTTGTAAGACCATATTCAAACCATAATGACCTACACTCACCGGCCACTTTATTAGGTACGCCTGTCCAACTGCTCGTTAACACTTAATTTCTAAGCAGCCAATCACATGGCAGCAGCTCAGTGCATTTAGGCATGTAGACATGGTCAAGACAATTTCCTGCAGTTCAAAGCGAGCATCAGTATGGGGAAGAAAGGTGATTTGAGTGACTTTGAACGTGGCATGATTGTTGGTGCCAGAAGGGCTGGTCTGAGTATTTCAGAAACTGCTGATCTACTGGGATTTTCACGCACAACCATCTCTAGGGTTTACAGAGAATGGTCTGAAAAAGAAAAAACATCCAGTGAGCGGCAGTTCTGTGGGCGGAAATGCCTTGTTGATGCCAGAGGTCAGACGAGAATGGCCAGACTGGTTGGAGCTGATAGAAGGGCAACAGTGACTCAAATAACCACCCGTTACAACCAAGGTGGGCAGAAGAGCATCTCTGAACGCACAGTACGTGGAACTTTGAGGCAGATGGGCTACAGCAGCAGAAGACCACACCGGGTGCCACTCCTTTCAGCTAAGAACAGGAAACTGAGGCTACAATTTACACAAGCTCATGGATATTGGACAATAGAAGATTGGAAAAACGTTGCCTGGTCTGATGAGTCTCGATTTCTGCTGCGACATTCGGATGGTAGGGTCAGAATTTGGCGTCTACAACATGAAAGCATGGATCCATCCTGCCTTGTATCAACGGTTCAGGCTGGTGGTGGTGGTGTCATGGTGTGGGGAATATCTTCTTGGCACTCTCACTGCATGAAAAGTGGGATTTTCGTCAATATGCGGCACTGTAGATTGTCGTGGAACTTCAGGTTAGCGGCAGTTTACGACAATTTGCAGGCTTCGCCGAAAACTCCCGTAAATTGTCAGAAATTGACGTGGAATTTCTTAGGCAGTGTTCCCCCCATGCCTCCCCCCCATGGAATTCTAGGGGAGGCTTTAACATGTAAATGAACATGCTGTGAGCTATACAAATGCAAACCAGGGTTGCAGGGGGAGTTTTACCCCAAGTGACATCTTTCTGAGGAAGAAAATCTCTGATACAAAGAGATCAGGCTTAGTATAGCCTCTCACTTTTTAGCTTGAATTGATTTATTTAATTAAAGTATAGAGACCAAAACAGATCTTTAGCTGACAGAGCAATACATTTAGAGCAGTAATTATAAAAAAACAAATTGCATTTAAGATAAAAAATAAAATGTTGTCTGTCAATATGCTCAATTCACAATTACTTAAGTGGAAAAGTTTCAAGAAATGAGTCTGAGATGATTCACTTTATAACATGGCGCATTATCCTGTTGGAAGTAGCCATCAGAAGATTGGTACACTGTGGTCAGAAGGTCCGGCCAGGTCAAGATCCGTAATTGCAATCGCACCAAACAGGAAAAAGAACATCGATAAATTCCGGTTCGTCAAATTAAAATATAGCAGCAACAGATCGGTGACTAGAAATTATAGCACAATTCTTATATATATATATAAAAAAAAAAACTAACACCGTTTATTTAAATGATTGGATCCAAACTATTGGTTATTCACCAACGAGGAAGCAGATTTCTCATCTCCATCAAAATATTTATTTTATACCGAGGGACTTAAACTTTAATCAAATCCAGTTAAAAAAAACTTCTTATTACAGGAATGAAAAGAGATGCTGAGTTTGGGAGTAGTGAACAAGTTCATTAAAAAAAAGCAGTTTTGAATTATCCTTATCCCCGTTACCAAAATCGACAAAAATATATATATATATATATATATATATATATATATATATATATATATTTGGGGAGAAACTGAACATATGCTGGATGATGGTGGGATTTTTTTAATATGTCATATTAAATTAAGCGCTCACAGGGTTCATACAGGAATGAGTGACTCTAATTTAATGCTATTTTAATGCTATTAGAAATGATTTAATGCCATCAACAAGAACCATGTACACAAGTTATTAGTGTACATGAAATATGAAGGAGCTGTAAGCAGAGTTCCATGACTCCTGTATGTATGTAAACACACACACACACATATATACGTATATATATATCCTCTAGCTTTTTCTCCGCCTGGAGCGATATAATATATCTGACGAAATTGTTTTTATAAGCATTTTTTATTAAAGAATTATAAATACTTCGATAAACATATTTAAATAATTTTAGTGCCAATTAAGGCCTTGATTAAAAAAAAAAAAAAAAGAATGATTTTTTAATTATTTTTATTGATCCGCAGAAACCCTGGTTCATCTCGCGCATGCTCTGTACGATCTCCAAGAAACTTAGAGCGGCGCGGTCTGCAGCCACAGTGGAGGATGTATGCTTTGCTTTGTGCAGGCGGTCTGGAGCGTCTGGATTTCGGGGTAAAACTCCTCTTGGACGCGATGGCGACTCTGCATCGAACAAGACGAACTCAAAGAAGAGATGCTAGCGGTAAATATATGTTCGATTACTGCCTGCTAAGCTAAAAGCGGCCTAGCCTAAGCTACCGGCTAATAGCAGCCTAGCTATTAGCCTATCTAGCCTAGCCTTGCAAGAACAAGCTTTATTAAAGTGTATTTTTTGTGATTACAGGAAGCAGTACGCCGTCTTAACAACTCGGAGACTAATTGCAGGCGCTATGAACCGGAGCAAGGGTAAGATTTAAAGAATATGCTTTCATTCTGCGGTAAAAGGCAATGGATATGGATGGATACCGATCATAGCTCTACATTTTGTTTTCACAGACCTCCTTTTTGCTCGGAGCCATAATCAGCAAGTCCAGATTTGCACGATGTTGATAAAGACGACATTGTGTGTAAGTGACTTGTTTTAATGTTTTCTCCTTCCTTGTTACTGTGACTTGCGTTTGATTTTTTATTTATACCACTCTCATTTAATTGTTTTCCAGCTGCCTGTAAGACGTATTTTCAGACGGTACGCAGGAGCTTCAGATATACGCTGCCAGCCAACACGCTGCGTGCGGAGGCTATCTGCTCGGAGTCGGGCCAGAAGAAAGAGGGTTAGACTTTATTTGGGGACTATTTTTCAGGTGCATTGATAGATGTGTTGTGTCCATACGCAGTGCGCTGATTCATTGTTTTTTTTTTTTCAGCTGCTGAAAGCGAGGCAGAGTGTGCTAGCAGATGAGGAAGTGGAACTCTGGAAGTCCGCCGTCGTCGGCGGTGTCTCTGGATGGATTGTACGGTCGCCGCCATTTCGTAGGCCGGATCCCTCTGAACTCTGTGTTAAGCTGCAGTCCCGGTTAGAAGCGATGCCGAAGTACAGGGCCACGCACAGTAGGCGTCTGCACATCGGACCTGCCTCGGAGGGAATGCTGCCAGTTACCTCCAACCCGAGGAAGCAAACGGACCGTTCACAGAGTTTTAATTTTTAGAAACGCATGTGTTTGGATACGCGTTGTATATAGTTGTGTGTGTTTTAATAAAGCTCTTTCTTTGCATAAACAGCTTCCTGCAAATGTTCATTTCCTGTATAAATTCATTCATGTCCTTGATGGTAGCCTAATAATTGTGTAGTAGTGTAGGATAACATAAATACACACCATATGAATGAATAAATATATGAATGAATAAATATATATATATATATGAATAAATATATATATGTAAATATATATATATGCCAACCAATCACGAGCGACTTTACTTGTTTAAAAAGAAGTGGTTCCGTCCAATACTCAGTAAGAAAATTAAAGCCTGGCGTGGCCACGTGTGGTTTTGCTGCCAATCACGAGCGATTTCATTTGTTTGAGAATAGTGGTTTCAGCCAATACTGAGAAGGTTATTCAAGCCAGACCTGGCCAGCCGCGCGGGTTTGCTGCATTCATATGCTAATTAGGGCCATTAGTACAGCTGATCGCTCTCCACATACGTCATGGTACGTTTCCGACAATTTGTGGCACGACAAACGCGGACAAGCACGGGTTGCAAATTGTCGGAAACTGACAAAAATCAGGCAGATCTGCGGGAGTTTACGGGGGTTTACGGGGACGAAAATCTCACTTTTCATGCAGTGTCTTTGGGCCCCTTGGTACCAATTGAGCATCGTTGCAACGCCACAGCCTACCTGAGTATTGTTGCTGACCATGTCCATCCCTTTATGACCACAATGTACCCAACTTCTGATGGCTACTTTCAGCAGGATAATGCGCCATGTCATAAAGCTGGAATCATCTCAGACTGGTTTCTTGAACATGACAATGAGTTCACTGTACTCAAATGGCCTCCACAGTCACCAGATCTCAATCCAATAGAGCATCTTTGGGATGTGGTGGAACGGGAGATTCGCATCATGGATGTGCAGCCGACAAATCTGCGGCAACTGTGTGATGCCATCATGTCAATATGGACCAAACTCCCTGAGGAATGCTTCCAGCACCTTGTTGAATCTATGCCACCAAGAATTGAGGCAGTTCTGAAGGCAAAAGGGGGTCCAACCCGTTACTAGCATGGGGTACCTAATAAAGTGGCCGGTTGTAACATAACCACTATGTTATGTTTCACTTCTTGTATGAAGCACATTAAAGTGTACCAATGTCAAACTTTCTTGTAGAACAGTTATGTCATTGATAATATTATTTCAAATCTCCATTGGTTAGAAAATTATGATGGGAATTAATTTTGGCATGGAGAAATTTCTGAATAAAAAGGAGCATGTGCATCGGCGCACACGGCTGGACAGGTGAGGAAGACGCGCACTGACAGGTCTGTGCAGCGGGAGTTTTTGTCTGGTTGTCCGATAAAAACAAGTCGAAAAATAAAGGAAACACAGACAGAGTTTGTCCCAGCGACGCAGATCACCGCAGAGATTTGTAGATAACTGATTGTCGGAGTTTGCACCTAGAGGACGCCGCCCGGTGCAAGGAGATGCCGCCCAGGGGAAAGAAAGACGCTCCGGTGAGATCTGGACCTTATTTTTCTTTTTGGGGATTTTTGGTGGTACCGCTCTTTTTCTAATCTTTTTTTGGGGGGGGTTGCCGTTTGTATTTTTCGTTTTGGAAAGGACTTTGAACTGAAACGGTTCCAGGATTTTACTTTGAGTTCGGAGTGTATGGAACTCCAGTTTGGACATTATTATTAGGAATAAAAAGAACGGACAGTTTTGGACTTTCAGTCATTAGGGATGTTTTTGTTTGTTTTTTGCGGATATAAATTGAGACTTTGAGTTTTCTTATAAATTAGTTGTGAAGGTTTTTTGGGTTATTTATCATTTATACTGAAATATTATTGAATTAAACTTTGGATTTCTTGGTAATAGTTTTTTTGTTATTATTATTTTTAAAATAAATTTTTGTTTGCTAAAAATTGTAATACTTTGCCTGATTTCCTGTGAAAAAAATCCTTGAGTATTTGTGAGTTCCGCTTTTAATCTAGCTGAATTTTACACGGTGAGTGTAGATTTGTTCTTTCCTTTCAAGTATCTTGTTTTAACTTTTAAAGGCTCTTGAAAAACATTGTGAGACTATCTGCCTTTTTTCTGTTTGAATATATTAGCTGTGCACAAAAAGGATGTCATAATACCTGTCTGACTTAAACACTGAAAGCAAACAGTGAGCAGGTTTATTTACCGCAGCAACAATCTCAGTTGCATTGACAAAAAGAACGCCCAGAAATGGCAGAAGGTCCGTAGTCAGTTGAGTTACCCTGAGCAGAAGAAAAGGATATAGACGCTTAGATAAAACCATGAGACGGCAGAAAGATTGCATTAATTAACCTTCACTTAATTTAGGTGAAGTAAAAGCCGCTGTACTCACTCCTTTCCCTGGGCTGCATCAGCCACAGTGATGCTGCTGTTGTGTGCCACCCAGGCCAGCTGGTCACCACTAGGGGAAAAGGACACACTGTGCACCCAGCCACCACATTCCTTATGCTCCAGCAGACACTCGCCAAAAGGCATCTTGGCCCCCCAAGCTGTGGGGCCAGGCTTGTCCTCAATGTCCTTGATGTAAGCTGAGAAAACCCTGTAAACAATGGAGAGCTGCTACAATGATATAAGAACATTTTCAGTTCTGATCTATTAACATTCCTTTTTTTAAAAAGGGGGAAACAATTGAAATCTTTGGGAAAAGCAGATGAAAGTCTTTGGCTGCTAGCGATCTTAAAAAGATGAAGGTCCGGTCTTACCTGCAGTGAAGGTCTGCAGACCCAGCTGACAACAGGATGTTGTTTGGATGCCAGTCCAGACTAAGCACTGTGGACCGTATGGCTTTCTTAATGTGCTTGCTCAACCACCTAAGAAGAATAAAACTCTGTGTCTGATATGCTGAAAATTCCCATCAATCTGTGTTTCGAACGCAAAGTATTAATTCTTCTCCAACTACTCCCCATTATGTCAAGTTTGCGTCAGGTAAATGCTCCTGAACACAAAGAAGTCACTTTATCAATGGTACCAAGTTTTTATGGTACAAAACTGCTACCCATTTACCATTCAACCATTTGTTTTATTTCATTATATGAACTGTACTATAATTAGGGGTGTGGGAAATAATCGTTTTGGCGATATATCGTGATATTCGGCTGCCCAATATAATATCGATCTTTCACTTCTTAGTATCGATAAAAAAAAAAAACATAAAACATTGATAGGAAAATTGGCTACCTCTGCACTCCCACTCTGGCAGAAAGCGCTGTGGAGCCCTTTAACTGTGCGTGCAGCACCAAATCTGTATTTGAGGCGGTCACAGTGGAAGAAAACCCCAAACAACATGGATAATAATACCTAATCAATACTTTCTGATGAAAATATACAGCACTTGCTGTTTTATCTCATCATTTGATTTTGATAGCTGGGGAAAATATTGCAATATATAGTGATACTGCGATATCGTGATAATATCGTATCGTGACCCAGGTATCGCGACATGTATCGAATCGCAACACTCATGCCAATACTCACCTCTAATTATAATGGTGTTAATAGGAGCATTTTGGTAGGAATTGGACAAAATGTGAGAAAAATATCACCTTGTTACCAAAAGGATAACATAGTTAGATCATGAAAACTAAAAGACTGTTAAATGTGGCATGGCCCCTGATTTTATACATCATGGTTAAATTGTCAAAATCATCCATCTCTTTTTTTGTTGTTATTATTTTGTGTAGTTTTCGACAACATTGGCAGTTTAATTCAAATCCAAATGTATGAAGATGCAGAATCTGTTAGTTCAATCTCTAACCTTCTGCTCTCTCTGCTTTTTCTCATAGTAGCTTCATCTGGTCTGTTCCTGTTTGGCTGTGACTCCATCCTGGAGAGAAATATCAGCTGTGCTGCTGCCATCAACACCTTTGTTTCTAGATGTTGGAGCTTGGCCTGTTTTCCAGTGTAGTCCTGTTTCTCTGACTGTGACTAACTGGATGTGCTCTCTTCATCCTCTGACATGGGAGCTGGCTCGGAGCTCGTCTGCCTGGCTGTGTGTTTCCTGGACGGGGCCGCCTGTGGAGCTGGTTGACAGTTGCCTTTTGTATCTATGCTTCTTTTTCTATGTCTGCTTCTGTCTCCTTGAACCCCAGTGGGCCTCAGCAGATGGCCGCTCACACTGAGCCTGGTTCTGCTGGAGGTTTCTTCCTGTTCAAAGGGAGTTTTTCCTCTCCACTGTCGCTACAAGCATGCTTAGTGTGAGGGATTGCTGAAGAGTCAATGAGTCGATGCAATCAGCTGGTTTTCCTTAGATAGAAAACTTTGAATCAATCTGACTGGATGATCTGGTTGATTTGGATCTATAAAGTGACCTGAGATGACATGATGGGAATTGGAGCTATAGAAATAAACTGAAAGGATTGTATTCTATTATAGACTGTTCCTGCTGGAGTTTGGGAGACCCTGCCTCCTTCTGCTTTACTCTTCTACTCCACTAGAAGGTGTCAGGAGGTATGGTGGTTGGATGGAGCAACTTGTTCTTCCTCATCAGGAGTGGAGAATTAAGGAATATGGTTGTGACCTGCCCATCCTGCAGCATGCTCTTCTCAGCCTCACCTCCTAACACTCAGCACTGCTCCACATTCTGGACACTTTCACAATCTATGTAGTCATTTTCTTTTGTGAAAATTTTTATCCTAACATCCTTACCTTTTCTTAAGAGCATCATGTGCTGGTCATGACGAGCATGGCATGGACACACAGACGGAAAATCCATGTGATTTTTTTCTAATTGATCCAGTAAAATTCTGGATATTGCTAGGATTTGTGAGACCCCATTCAGAAGTAAAAAATGTGGGACTTTGCCGCACAAATCAGGATATCTAGTCAACCCTGTTCCTCTTGGACCTGTGTCCGGCATGTTTTAGGGCTTTCTTTGTTGCATCATGCCATAAAAGATTGGTTGATTAACAGGCTTCTGCAGCACTGATTGCAGAGGAGGAGCCCAGTTTGGATCAGGCAAGCTGGAACAGAGATGCATCTTAAACATGGAGGGAAGGGATCGCTGAGGAACAGGGTTGGGAACCACTGCCCTATCAGAACCATGTAACCCTGTTAAACGGTAAACCCACTAGAGTTAGTTATTCTAGAGTCATCATTCTATTCTGATCCTTCTCACCAGTCATTTTCCTTTTCAAAGTAGCAGACAGAGATCAGCCGAGCTCCACTGCCCAGAGCAAACTTGTTCTCCAAAGGGGACCATTTTACGCAGGTGGCTGCCCGGTTGATGCGCACCAGGACTAGGGTAGGCTTCCACACTCCATCCTTCAGAGTCCAGACGTAGGCATTGCGGTCAGAGGCACAGGTCACAATACGATTTGACACTGGTGCCCAATCAATACCTGTGGACGGCAGATCCTCCTGTTAGCCAAAACTCTTTAGTCTTTAATGGGGTATTTATTTGGAAATATAAATTATTTCAAGTCCTTCCCCTATAATGTTCCTTAAAGGTGCAGGTTGTATATTTGGAGCTACGGTACCTGTGATCCGTCCACTGTGCTCCGTCAGCTCATGGATCTTGACCCAGTCTTTGCCTTTCTTCTCATAGATGTTCACCAGGTTGTTGTTGGGACTTACAGCAATTTCTGTAAGAAAGTATGTGATTTTAGAACAAAGGCACAACACAGGCTGGGAAATGTATTCAAAATAAACCACCCTTGAAGATTTGTTCTGATTAATATTTTCTAAAACTATTCTTTCTCTATGTCTGGTTTGCGGATGTGAGCTTTTGCATTGTGGTTCCATTTTCCAATGCTCTACTTTCTGTGATTGCAGCTTTTCCCCTTTTTTAGCAAATTTTATTTTCAGCAAGCGCCAGGACCGACTCTGAAAAGTGTTTCAGCTGCAGGATCGGGCTGCCAGCGGTGCAGAGCTTGCTCAGGAATGGCAGCAGGCAGGTGTGAGTGCATCTGCACTGTGAGGCGGAGACTCTTGGAGCAAGGCCTGGTCTGAAGGAGGGCAGCAAAGAAGCCACTTCTCTCCAGGAAAACCATCAGGGACAGACTGATATTCTGCTAAAGGTCCAGGGAGGGGACAGCTGAGGACTGGGGGAAAGTCATTTACTCTCAGCAATCCCCTTTCCCATTGTTTGGGACATCTGGAAAACAGCTGGTTGGGAGAAGACCAGGTGAGCGCTACCAGCAGTCTGGTCTCATGCCGACTGTAAAGCATCCTGGAACCATTCATGGTGGGGTTGCTTCTCAGCCAAGGGAGTCGGCTCTCTCCCAGTCTGACCTAAAAACAGCCATGAATAAAGAATGGAACCAGAATGTCCTCCCAGAGCAACTTCTCCCAACCGTCCCAGAGCAGGTTGGTGATGAACGATGCCTTTTCCAGCATGATGGAGCACCTCGCCATGAAGCAAAGGTGGTATCTAACTGGCTCAGGGAACAAAACAGAGAGATGTTGGGTCCATGGCCTGGAAACTCCCCTCATCTTAATCCCATTGAAAACTTGAGGTCAATCATCAAGAGACGGCGGACAAACGGAAACCTTCTGACTAAATGAAAGCATTGATGGAGCAGAATGGACGCTATCAGTCAGGATTTAGTCCAGAAGCTGATTGAGAGCAGCCAGGGAGAAATGTCCTGGAGAAGAGGAGTCAACACTGCAAATACTGACCTGCTGCATGAACTCATTCGGTCATTAAAAGCTTTGGTTACTCAGAATATGATGCAATTGTATGTCTGGATGTGATGCAACATCTGACATGAACACCAGAGGGCAGCAGATCAGGGGAAAATATTATATTTGTGTCGTTCTCAATACTTTTGGCCATGACTGTAGTGCATGGTGATTTTATGTTTTTATTTTATGTCCAGCTAACAGCAGGTGAAACAGAAGAATCATTTGGTTCAATATCCTGATGCTATATGCCTGCATTAAAGCTTTCACTGCATTTCCTTTATCGATCATTAGATTCACTGTGGCTCTCCTGCCAACATTAACTACAGAAACACTGCATCTTGTAATGAAATAAAAGTGTTTGGTGAAAGAAACATTTCTTTGTATGGTTGCAGTTAGACGTACGGGTCCTATCTTTATTCCAGGCGTGGCAGGAGAGAGGTTCCAGCCCAAAGCTATGGAGCGACATGTCTGAGCAGGAGCTGCTCGGCTGCTGGAATGTGGCTGTTTGGCAAATGTGCTGCTACAGGCTTCAAGAAAAAAAAAACACAGACATGTTTATTCAAAGAGAAAATCTTTTTAAACCACTTCAGGTTCAGTGAGATAAACATCTTTACCAAATATTTCAAACTTTTCTATTTTCTGTATTTACCATCCGTAAAGAAGCCAAACATTTGATCATGTTTCTCGCCTGTTGCTATTTCTACATTTCCTAGTTTGTAAAGAGAGTCATGGCTTTAAGTTAGGCTCATCTTTAGGGTTTTAGATCATAATCATATGTTAAAAAGGTATGATAAATGTTTCATTCACTAACAGCATTGCAGGAACATTGGCTGTTAGATCCCAGAAATACATGTAATCCATATATTTAGGAAGAAAACGATATGTTTCAAATGTCTGTTGCTAAGTTACTTCTAATTTATAAGAACCTCAAAAGCAAATAAGAAAAGATCCACTGTCAGATATTCCAGTGTAAAGTTATAGTGTAAAGTTATAGATGTAACAGGATTACAGATATAACATGATTACAGATTTGACGGGATAAATATAAAATCTGCTGATTGTTAAGGTGAAAACAATGAGGAAGGGGAAATGTTCTTACCTTTACTGCCTAAGGTGGTCAATAGAAGTGGTGGGGAGGGTGAAGATAAGCTGAGTCGTATTCGTGGACTATGGACAGTCAACACGAATAGAACTGTGTGAGTGTGTCTGAGTGAAGGAAGAGTCTGTGGTGTAATTGGAAGGAGTGGAAGAAATGTGGGTGTGTCTGTAGTTGAACAATAATGGGGATTCTACTTTGCTTCTTAACCTGATATTTCAGACAATTTTCTGTAGCATCAGTTATGTGAAGCAAATATGATTTTATCCTGTAGTAGTTTATCAAAATTAGCTTATTTACTTTAAATTTCATTAGATTACAAAATAATGACCACAAAAAGAAATGAAATGTTGTAATGTAATAAATGACAGGGTTTATTTAAGCAGTTCTAGATTTTGATGCCCAAGGGATGAAGGATCTCCATGACTGACAAAATGACAAAATCTTTACAAAATGACGAGAAACTTGTATTAATCTAAGACTGAAGACTTAACAGTCTGATGAAGATGATGCTCACTGTTGTCCATCATCATCTTCATCTCCAGGGGTTCTAGAGGATTCCCTAGAACAGAGCCGATCTTCTTAATCAGCTGCTTAAACTTTGTGATAAAAGAAGCTCATAGCTGTACTTTAATCACACCTTCACTGCTAAATTTTTACTGCGATTTTACAGTAAATTACTGGATAAAGGTTTCATTACTTTCACAGTAAGTATTACAGTAACTGTAAATCATACTCGCAACAACTTACTGTACTGTGAGTTTACAGCTGTGATATTACAATAAATTGCTATGAAAGCAAAACTGTTTACTATAACTTTATGGCTTCAATAACAAAGCAATTACCTTCATATTACAGTATCTTACTGTGAAATTACAGCATTTTGCTGCACATTAGTACAATAAGGCCATGTACTTTTAAGGGTGTATATTGTGAAAGGAATACACAGGTTTAGAGTAATTTACGGTCAATTTTCAAAGTATTATGCAACATTTGACCAGCAATTTACTGTGAAAGTATTGCAAACATTTACATTGAATTTACAGTCATTGTTCTCTATCCCACTAACCACCCACTCCCACCCCACCCTGATAAACAACTCTTGAGAAAAGTCAAAGTTTGTCAATTGCATATTTATTGACAAATAAATGTTTTTTAACATACAGGAAATGTTAATAATTAAAATAGTAATAATTGAGAAATTCCCTCTCTGTATTTAACCCTCACCCATTGGGGAGCAGTGGGCCGCCATTGGGCCATTCAAAGTCAATGAGTTTCCTCTAAGGTTGCTTATATGGGGGTTCATTGTTGTACGCTTCCTGGTCTTTGAGTCTCTTTCAGGACTGATGCCCAGGAAGCACCTGTTAATGAGCAAAGATGTTTTTAGTTTTAAATAAACTGATCACCTTTTTCCATATCACACCGTGATAAATGTAGAATCAAATCTTGTTAGGTACTCCACTTCTAAATTGTTTTAGCCATTTTGTATGGATGGATGGATGGATGGATGGAAGGAAGGAAGGAAGGAAGGAAGGAAGGAAGGAAGGAAGGAAGGAAGGAAGGAAGGAAGGAAGGAAGGAAGGAAGGAAGGAAGGAAGGAAGGAAGGAAGGAAGGAAGGAAGGAAGGAAGATTGCCTTTATTACACAACCCAGCAATAAATAAAACAAAACAAATTTAATGAAATAAAAACATCAAAAAGCAAAAACTAAAGATTCTTCATCTACTGAATATAAGGAACCATTAACGCCCCACTTACTTACAAAAACATCTATACTCTTTGTCAACTTAAAAAACTAAATTTCTACACGAACACCAGCAATGACCAGTCTCTGAAATAACAAACAAGCATCTTCCGTTTAATGACCATTCATTTTGTTCTTTCTTGATCCATATTGATAGTTTTGCCATTCCAGAACTTAAATTTAAAAGCACATGAACAGATCTCTTCTTTGCACAATACCGTGGACCATAAATAAAAATACATCTGGAGGACTGAAGACCAAAACCACTAAACAAACGATCCAAAAGAACAAAAGAGGATTTAATCTGAAACATTCAACAAAAATATGATGCAACGTTTCCTCCTGTAAACAAAAAGGACAGTTAACACTAGCGCCTGTCAGAACCCTTGTGTGGAGTGTTTTTCTATTTCTTCTGGAGCGCTGCAGGTGGGCGTGGCCAGCTGTCTGAGCACCTGAGATCCATCAACCCATCTACCTGTGAAGGATTTAAGGAGCTGCAGCCATCTCTTCCTCGCCTGATGGTCCCATACTCTGGTACCAATCTAGCCAACGTTAAATTCCCCATGAGAAAGTCCTGTCTGATTCCCAGTGAAAGGTTCCTCATTGCTCACCTCTTGTCTCTCTGGATTCCCAGGTTCAATCGAAGCAGCCCTGGACTGATTCCTTCAGCATCTAACTCCGCGAGCTGTTCCCATCTGCAACTTATGCTCTGTCCGCCAAATTGACTGTAACCTGGTTAAACAGTTAAAAATTAACACTTTGCCATTACCTTCTCCAGTTCACGTCTCGCCTTTGGACGGTAAGCCTTTACCCCTTGTGACTCACACTACAGAACCTATTGAGTTGGTTATGTCAGGCAACCATCATGAGAAACTAAACTTTTTTGTGTTCCCTTCTCCCCAGTCCCCAGTGGACCTAGGTCATCCTTGGCTCTCATTACACAATCCACATCTGAACTGGAGAGAGGGTAAAGTTGAGTCCTGGAGCCCCCATTGTCTCTCAAACTGTCTCCGTTCTGCCCAAGTGAGTTCCCAACCCGCTGACATGAGGTGTGAGGTAACTGTTGACCTATCTAACGTTCCTTCTGACTATCATGATTTAGAACTGGTCTTCAGTAAGTCAAGAGCACTCTCTCTCCCTCCTCACCGCCCTTACGACTGCTCCATTGAGTTATTTCCTGGAGCCACCTTACCCTCTAGTCGTTTGTACAACCTGTCTAAGTCTGAGAGGGAATGCATGGAGAAGTATATCAATGAATCACTTGCTGCAGGAATAATTCGGTATTCTACATCCCCATTGGGTGCTTGGTTTTTCTTCGTATCTAAGAAGGATCGGTCTCTCCGGCCCTGTATTAATTACACGGGACTCAATCAAATTACAATTAAGAACAAGTATCCTCTTCCGCTTCTGACCTCAGCTTTGAGCCAGTCCAAGGTTCCAAGATCTTCACCAAACTAGACCTCCGTAACGCCTACCATCTGGTTAGAATACATAAAGGTGATGAATGGAAGACAGCCTTCAAGACACCTTTGGGTCATTTTGAATATTTAGGTATGCCTTTTGGCCTTACCAATGCCCCAGCAGTTTTCCAGTCACTGGTCAATGATGTTCTTAGGGACTTCATCAATGACTTTGTTTTCGTCTACATTAACGACATTCTGAATTTTTCTAAGACACCAGAGGAGCATAAAGCTCATATCCGTCTGGTTTTGCAACGTTTGATGGAGAACAGAGTTTTTGCCAAAGCAGAGAAATGTGTGTTTCATGTTTCCTCAATTTCCTTCCTGGGGTTTATACTAGAGAGCGGGCAGGTGAAGGCTGATCCTCACAAGGTTCAAGCAGTTTTGGATTGACCGGTCCCCACCTCAAGGAAACATTTTCAACGTTTTCTGGGGTTTTCAAACTTTTATCGGCGGTTCATTAAGAACTACAGTCAGACAGCTGCTCCCATGTTATTCACTGGGCACACATTGCCAAGTTCTCCTGTCATCCAGGAGTTGGCAGAACCATAAGTCTTCTGAGACGTACATTTTGGTTTCCGTCTTTGAACCGGGATGTTGGGGATTTTGTCCTTGCTTGCCATGTCTGTGCCAAATCATCCAATCAGCACCCTAGTGGGCCTCTTCAACCCCTGCCAATACCTGAGCGGCCATGGTCTCACATAGCTCTAGATTTAGTTACCGGGTTACCCGTCTCCAGTGGGTTCACCACCATTCTAGCTATCATTGACAGATTCTCTAAAACCTGACACCTTATTCCATTAAAGAAACTCCCGTCTTCACTTCAAACAGCTCAGCTTCTCATAAAACATGTGTTCAGGTTACATGGCATCCCTAAGGAGATTCTCTCAGATAGGGGACCCCAGTTTACTTCAACAGTTTGGAGAGAGTTTTGCACGGCTTTAGGAGCTAAAGTTTTACTCAGCTCTGGTTTCCACCCACAGACTAATGGTCAGACAGAACGTCTAAATCAGGAAGTGTAGGCTGCCCTTCGTTGTCTTTGTTTGTCTAATCCGACTGCCTGGAGTTCTCATTTGCCTTGGATTGAGTACTCTCACAACAGTCATGTATCTTCTGCTACAGGTGTCGCTGGGTTACCACCCCCCTTCTTCCATCAGAAGAAGAGCAGACTTCCATTACATCAGTTCAACATCATCTTCGACGCTGCAAGCGTATTTGGGAACAGACTAGGAGAGCCCTTCATCGAACTGCTGAACAGAATCGGCGCTATGCTGACCGTAAATGAGCTCCTGCCCCAGCCTACCGCCCTGGACACAAGGTATGGCTTTCCACCAGAGAAATTCAAATGAAATCAGCTAACAAGAAGCTTTCTCCAAGATTTATTGGTCCCTATGAAGTGGAATCTGTTTTGGGTCTTTCCTCTGTTTGTCTAAGGTTACCAGCGAGTCTTAAGATCCACCCTGTTTTTCATGTGCCTTTGATTAAGCCAGTCAGATCTAGCCCCCTGTGCCCACCTCCTAAGCCACCTCCTTTCCCCCGGGACATTGGTGGGCACCCGGCGTCCCTTGCTCGGAGTCGGGCCAGAAGAAAGAGGGTAAGACTTTATTTGGTGACTATTTTTCAGGTGCATTGATAGATGTGTTGTGTCCATACGCAGTGCGCTGATTCATTGTTTTTTTTTCAGCTGCTGAAAGCGAGGCAGAGTGTGCTAGCAGATGAGGAAGTGGAACTCTGGAAGTCCGCCACCGTCGGCCTCATGTCCGACGAAGAAGATGGCGTCGTTGGCGGTGTCTCTGGATGGATTGTACGGTCGCCGCCATTTCGTAGGCCGGATCTCACTGAACTCTGTGTTAAGCTGCAGTCCCGGTTAGAAGCGATGCCGAAGTACAGGGCCACGCACAGTAGGCGTCTGCACATCGGACCTGCCTCGGAGGGAATGCTGCCAGTTACCT